GCGTTCTGCACGAGACACACGCGACTCCTTGCCTGCTTCCTCTATGATTTGCTGTTGTATGTAATATATTTAATGTATGTATTTGTAAATGTAATAAGAGCCAAACGGTTTCTGCATTTTTTTGGGAAGCCTGTTTATTTTTCGTTCTGCCCTCCGGGCAGACAGGGTGTTTGGCAGTTAATTCAGTGGTCCTAAAAGATGGTCAAAGGACAGATGTCAAGGCAATTCTTAGTCGGGTGTAGCGGTTAAGAGCAGCGAATTATAATCGGGGTATAATCTGGAGGACCGGGTTTGATTCCCCACTACTCCACCTCAAACCTGCTGGGTGACCTTGGGCCAGTCACCGTCCTCTCAGACCTCTCTCTGCCCCACCTGCCTCACAAAGTGCCTGTTGTGGGGGGAGGAAGGCGATTGTAAGCTGCTTTGAGACACATGAGGCCTGCTGGGTGACCTTGGGCCAGTCACCGTTCCCTCAGGACTCTCTCAGGCCCACCTGCCTCACAAGGTGCGTGTTGTGGGGAGAGGAAGGCGATGGTAAGCCGCTTTGAGACACACGAGGCCTGCTGGGAGACTTTGGGCCAGTCCCAGTTCTCTCAGATCTCTCTCAGCCCCCTCTCGGCCCCACCTGCCTCACCAGGTGCCTGTTGTGGGTAGAGAAAAGCAGGTATAGAAACCTACCTCTCGGGCCAAGGGGTAGGCTCTCCAGAATGACATTGGTGGTCGTCTCCTCTGTGCTTTATATGTTGCCCTGTATACCCACCCACCCCCAGTGCTGCAGGGAGCTTCGGAGTCAGGCACAGCCTTCTTGTGAAGAGCACCAAAAATGGCTTTTTTTTCACTGAAACCCTTGGAAATTCACTGGAGGTTTCCTCTCCCCTTCAGCCACCGGGGCCAAACTGTTCAGCGTAACCTAAAATCGTGTGTCTGGCCAAACGGGCTCAGTGACAGCACATTTTTTTAAAAAGACCAATGCTGCTGAAGCCCCGCTCTGCCACTCCCCCTCTCAGGCTTGGGACCCGAATCCCCTCTGCATCCACATTCTTCCTCCCCTCCCGGGAACTAACTCAGACTAACTCAGCTTAGAGGGAAGACTGGTTTCGCGTGTGCGTGATACCCATGTGCAGTTTTAGGCCCTTTCCACAGCTTCCTCTTCTGGCTAAAGCCTCACATTTACTGGCGCATCAGTGTTGGGATTTTAAGCATCGCTCTTCTCTGGATGAGGACAAGAGGGCCTGGGGTGTTGGTGGGGAATGTCAGAGGACACCCCTCCCTCTTTGACTCTTCTGCCCCTACTAGCATCGCTATTCTGTTCTGTCTGAAGCCCTGGACCTCACCGGACTTCACAGTGTCCTTCTTGCTCCAGGGAGGGGGTGGTAAGCACGAGGGGTACGCTGTCTTGAACAGCTGAAGCTTGACGTCTGAATTCCTCATTGAGCCGTCTCTACCTGGGCGGCTTTTGTCCTTGCACTATGCAGGGGCACGGTGAATGAACAGCCCCCTTTTGTTGCAGCCAACTCACGGCGACCCCATGTGGTCTTCAAGGCAAGAGGCATTCAGAGGTGGTTTGCCCTTGCCTGCCCCTGTGTCTCGATCCTGGTATGCCTTGGTGGTCTCCCTTCCAAATACTAACCAGGGCCGACCCTGCTTCGCTTCCGAGATCTGATCAGATCGGACAAGCCCCGGCAGTCCAGCTCAGGGCACTGCGGGCCTGGAAGCGGTGTTCCCTCTAAGCTGAGCTAGTGTGAGCCAGCTCACAGTTTTTTAGCCTCTGGCTGTCACATTTTTTGTCTTTGCTCAGGAAGGATGGCTCCAGAGCAATGCTCCCTCTAAGCTGTGAGCAAAAATTCTACTTTGTGAGCTACCGGCATTAAAGTCCCATCTCTAGTTCCAGCTCCTGCCAACCTAGCAGTTCGAAAACAAGAAATTGCAAGTAGATAAATAGGGACCACTTTGGTGGGAAGGTAACAGCGTTCCGTGCGCCTTGGTGTTTAGTCACGCCGGCCACATGACCACGGAAACATCTTCGGACAGTGCTGGCTCTTGGGCTTTGAAACGGAGATGAGCACCGCAACCCTAGAGTCGGATTCGACTGGCTTTCGAGCAAGGGAACCTTTACCTAGGCTCACACTAACTCAGCTTAGGGGGAACACTGCTCCAGAACCCGTTCTACCAGACCTTTTAGCTCTTGCTAACTGGAACCATCCGTTGATTAAGAGGCACAAGAAGCTCATCTTTCTAATGGCGGAAGTCTAGTAAAGTAGGATATGATGTCAAATGATAAGACAATACAAAAATCAGAAAAAACTGTGAAAAGGTGACGCTTAGTAAATTTCTTTAAAGAATCAAAAATATGAAAATACACAATAATAGAAAAATAGAAAATTACGACGGTGATCTCCGGAACGTCTTGCCGTTTCGAAGGTAGATCTTCTTCCGAAGAAACATGTGAGACGGAGACTGTCTCTCAGTAATTCATTTCCTCTGGTGACATTTCAAAGATATCAAAGAAGATTTTCAATATTCATAACAGCTGTAATGTCTGTAATGCTTACACTACAATCATCTTAGCCCATATGGCAGGTTCTACTAGACATTACAGCTGTTACGAATATTGAAAATATTCTGCCAGAGCTCCGCTCCTGTGCGCTCCCGCAGGAAATGACCCCTGGTTCTGAATATTTCAATTACTTAATCAGCATAAGATGCTGCGTTATTTACCCAACAGTTGTGCCTACTTTTACCCCTAATGGGATATCCCCACAGCTGTTTGCATCGTCACTCTCCTGTCCGCCGTGTTACCCTGACAACCACCTTATGACTCATAAGTGTTCCCTCTAAGCTGAGTTAATGTGAGCTAGCTCACTGTTTTTTAGCCTCCAGCTCACACATTTGTCTTAGCTCAGGAAGGAGGGCTCCAGAACAAACTAATTTATGCAGTAGCCAAATCGCTGGCTCACAACTTTAGTGCCAGTAGCTCACAAAGTCGAATTTTGGCTCACAGGACTCCACAGCTTAGAGGGAGCATTGGTGGTGAGCTCCCCGACTGGCAGTCTTGAAGCAGCGGCTGGACAAACATTTGTCGGGGATGCTCCAGGCTGACCCCGCATTGAGCAGGGAGTTGGACTACTCTGTGATTCTGTTAAGCCACATATTGCGAATGCAACACTGTGGAACCCCCCCATCCTGCCGCTGGGCCCGTTCACGCCCTGTCCCTGATCAGCACTTACCTCTCGAGCTCAGTGGCAAGAGCGGGGCCCCTGCCTCGTTCTCCCAACTTGGTGCAGAATTTTTACTAAGGGTGCGGTCAGATGCGCCATTTGATCTGGTGTCGTGCCAGTTCAGAAACAGATTCTATCTGCGCGATCACAGTCAACATCTGCACACCGTCCCCAGCCATCGCTTTCTGGCTCAAAACCGCTTTAACCCAGAGTATTTTGATACCAGGTCCCCAAGTGGTGTTTTCCTGATTCTCCGGTTCCAGCCGCACTTTTCTGACGTCTGATCGCTCCTGTGGTGTTGAGCCACTTCCAGTTTAAACCCCCTCCCCACTCGATTTAACCCCCCCCCCCGCTCGAAAGCTGCCCGGGGCTTCCGTTTTCCTCCCGCCATTTTTAAAAAAAGCGTTGGTGGTGTGCGCATAGGTGAAGGTCCGCCACCGCATTATTAAAAACAATATTTAAACGGTGCCTAGTTTTAGCATTTAGACGAGTTTGGGATCTCACCGAGGCCATTTTCGGGGTAAATGTTTAAAGGGAAGTGTTACAGCAGTCGGGTTGAAGTGGAAATCGCCGTTCTGCGCACGTGCTAAACTTTTAGCTCTACAGATGGCTGCCTGTGTGCATGCCCAAACTGAGAGAAGAAGAAAAAAACCTGATGCACGCTCCCATGTGTGGACGGCAGGGAGCGATGTGGCTGCGCGGTGATCCGGAGCAAGGAGGTGAGTGTGACTACAATTCTCCAGGTTAAAAAAGACCGCATCAGGGCCGGAACAATTTAAACCGCTCCCAGCACGCCGTCTGACCGCACCCTAAGTGACTTTTTTAAAAACTGTGAGCAGCTGTTTAGAAGGAAGAGGCAACGTACTCGTACTTAAAACGGATGCACTTCAGTTATTCCAAATATTTATGCACCTGCATTCCACCCGAGGACCTCAGACGGGCTTCGTGTGACTAGTAGGAAACTTCTTTAAGGCGGAGGGGGACACAGATGGCCAAAGGGACGTTTCCAAGCCTAAACGGTGGAGGATCAATCCTTTGCATGGTAATTTGGCTGCCGAGAAATCCCTGTGCGGTCACAGGAGTTCCGGAACGGCAGGGGAGCTGCTCCACGGTTGCCCGGCGGCCCTATCCGTCTCCGAGGAGCCTACTGGGGCACAGTCTGAAGCCGGCAGCTGCCATTGACTGCTATCAACGCATGACACACTCCAGGTAAAAGTAATCCAAAGAGAAGGGAATTATTTGTTTACGCATATTATTGGAGACGCCCTTGATGGGAATTCTCCCTCATCGAAGAAGAAACTTCTGTTGGACGGGGCAGGCCCACTGGCTTCTCTTGCATTCTTACGAACTCAGTTCGTGGCCAAAACTGGTCATAGCAGCGGGGTGAGAGATTTTTGCATCACTGGATGCCTCATTTTATGGTCCCATCTTGTTGACTGTATTGAGTCAGTCTGGGTAATCCACCTTGATTTGAGTCCCCGTCAGGAAAATAAAGAAATATTCAAGCTACCTGAAAGGATTCACTGAGCTACCTACTGGAGCTGACTCTTGAAAGGTTATACTCCAAAAAGGTCGAGCGCCAGTTTGGTGTAGTGGTTAGGAGTGCAGATTCCAATCTGGGAGAACCGGGTTTGATTCCCCACTCCTCCACATGCAGCTGCTGGTGTGACTTTGGGCCAGTCACAGTTCTCTCAGGAGCAGTCCTTGAAAGAGCTCTCTCAGCCCCACCTACCTCATAGAGTGTCTGTTGTGGGGAGGGGAAGAGAAAGGAGATTGTAAACTGCTCTGAGACTCCTTCGGGTAGTGAAGGGCAGGGTATAAATCCAGTCTCCTCCTCCTCCTCTTCTACTGGACTCGAACCTCACCCTTTCGCTGCAGACCAACATGGCTACCCCCTCTGAAATTCAAGAGGACTAGTGGTGACGCAAGGGGGGGGGGGAGATATGTCCCTGGTTCTTGTATTGGCAATACGCCAGGTGTAAGACTACAACTACTTAGCTGGTGGTGTCCATACAGACCCCCCCCTTTTTAAATAGCAGAGGCAAGGAAGCCCACCGTGTAGCCACTCACTACAGGGGAAAGATCAAAGAGTCAGCAATACTCTCTGAATGCCTTCTAGACTTTGGTGCAAATCAAAGCAAGTTTTGGAAAGGCAACTACCAATCCAGGTGTCCTTTATTTCACATTTTATTAGTAGACAGATGTGCAGAAAAAAACCCCCAAAACTAAATTCTCAAAGGGGAAGGGAGACAACACAAAAAAAAACCCCAAAACCACAGTTAATCTGGTCTGATAAATCATATCAACCAAAGGGGGGGAAACGGAGAAACATCCAAGATTTCAGCTCAGGAAAAAAAAGAAAGAAAGAAAATTTCCAATAGAATTCCAAGTGCTCCCTGCTGGTTTCAGAAGGGCTGAGAACTGCATCGAAGTTTCTTTTTTTAAAAAATCAGAGAAAGTAAACACAAATTATCTGGGATGGGGACAGGGAAGGTTTCTGACAGAACCAGGCTATGGCGTGGCTCTAGTAAACATCTTGTCCTCATAATCTCTTAAATAGCTTGATAGTTGCATCTCGGTTGGCTGAATCTCAAGAATGGGGAACACCACCAAGCTTGCGAATACAAGTCACTGGAGCGCATACAGTGAAGACAGTCAACGTACAAAGGGGAGAAACGGCTGAAAGACACAGTATCCTCATTTCAGGCCAAGCCAGAAGCCCCCTTGGGGTCACGAAGCTCTGCTCAGAGAGAAGTTGCCGCAGGGGCTGGCCTGCTGATGAACGGAGGGCTGCCCACACCATTACAAGTCTCGGGCAGTGATTATGCGGGATAGGTTGGGCTCTGATACCCTCCCCTGCCCACTCCCCGCCCCCATGCAGCTGTAAGCAGCGAGGGCGCCCCAGAACACTATGCCAAGGTTCACCAGCTTCCGACAGGCACCGCTGCAAGGAAAGCCCTAAGCAGGTACACTCTGGGTTACCTGTCAGTGCTAGGCTTGAAGAACCACCCCCGGGCTTCCCAGCCACTCTGGAGGGGAACAGATACCTTCTTCACCTTGCAGGGGGCTCCAACCAGTCTTCCCCCGCCCCGCCTTAGGACAGACCCAGTCAGGGCAGACTCTGCAGAGGTAGCCAAGGCTGGTTGATGGCTTTTACGCAAGCGAGCATTCAGTGCGAACCACAAGTCGAAGCATCCTTCGCAGCCGGAATGGAGCTGAAGCTAAGTCACACAGTGGAGGATGGCAGCGTTTCTGCTTCCAGAATGGGGGGGGGTGCAGCGGGGGGCTTTACAAGCCCTCGAAAGCCATCCGTGTTGGGTGGGCAGGGCCCCCCCTTGCAAGGAAGCGCCCAAGCAGAGGGCTGCCCCACTGCGCCGCCTCTCCTCCATCCCAGCAGGGCCCAGCGTTAACATAAATACACCAAATGGATACAAAGCTAGGGGGTTGGGGGGGGGGCAAGGAAGCCTGCCCCCTGGGCCTTCTCGCCACTTGCTTGCCCTTCCGGGACTTCAACAGCCCCCCCC